AAAAAAAAAAAAAAAGAATTGGTATTTACCTGGGGTTAGGGACTTATTGGAAAAGATACCTATGCCCTATGAAGTTTCTTTGGGGTTGCTAAAAAAAGTCCTAAAATTATATTATGGTGACGGCTTCATGATTCTTTAAAGATACTAAATATATTTATATTTTATAATCTAAATAGCTGAATTTTATGCATTGTAAATTATATCCCTTTATCAAAACCATTAAAGTAATGATAATATCAAAGTAAATTTGGAGGAAAGCAAAAAGGAACACAGGTTCTGGATCATGGAGCTGGGTCAACAGGATGCCCCGTTGTCTCTTTTATGTCACCCTCCCACCATCTCACGCCTGTCCAGCAGGAGCTCTCGCTCTTACTGACCCACCCTGGTTAAAATGTCTATACTACCCAAAGTGATCTGCAGATTGAGTGCAACATCACAAGATTATTTTTCACAGATATAGAAACAATAATTTTATGCTTTGTATGGGCCCAGGAAGACCCCATATAGCAAAAGCAATCCTAAGCAATAAAAAAAATGGGAGGTATCAATTTACCTGATTTCAAACTATACTACAAGGCTATAGTACTTTAAAAAAGTTTGCACTGGCACAAGAACAAGGACATTGACCAGTGGAACAGAACAGAGAACCCAGGTATAAAACCATCCCCATATAGCCATCTAATCTTTGACAAAGCAGACAAAAACATACACTGGGGAAAAGAATCCTTATTCAATAAATCATTCTGGGATAACTGGAAAGACACATGTAGAAGACTGAAACAGGATCCACACTTTTCACCTCTCACAAAAATCCACTTATGCTGGGTAACAGACTTAAACTTAAGGTGTGAAACTATTAGACATTGGTCTAGGCAAAGAATCTAAGAAGAAGACCCCAAAGGCAATCACAGCAATAACAAAAATAAATAAATGGGAGCTGATCATATTAACAAGCTTCCGCACAACCAAAGAAACTCACGAGAGCAAACAGGCAACCTATAGAATGGGAGAAAATTTTTGCATGCTACACATCCAATAAGGGACTGATAACTAGAATCTATTTAGAATTCTGGAAAATCAGGAAGAAAAAAATCAAACAACCGTATTAAAAAGTGGGCAAAGGACATGAACAGAAATTTTTCCAAAAATAAGACAGAATAATAACTAACAAACATATGAAAACATGCTCAACATCTCTAATATTCAGAGAAATGCAAATCAAAATCACAATGAGATATCACTTATCTCTAGTGAGAATGGCCTTTATCAAAAAATCTCAAAACAATAAATGATGGTGAGGATATGGAGAGATAGGAAGACTCCTACATTGCTGGTGGGACTGCAAATTAGGTCAACCTCTGTGGAAAGCAATGTGGAGATACCTTAAAAAGATACAAGTAGGTCTACCACTTGATCCAACAATCCACTACTGGGCATCTTCCCAAAAGAACAAAAGACATTCTATAAAAAAGACATCTGCACTCATATGTTCATACCAACACAATTCACAATTGCAAAGATGTGGCAACAACCAAGTGCACATCGATCCATGAGTGGATTAATAATATGTGGTATATGTGTACCATGGACTACTATTCAGGTATAAGAAACAATACAAGCACCTCTTGTATTTTCGTGGATAGAGTTGGAACCTATTCTACTAAGTGAAGTATACGAAAATTGGAAAAATAAGCACCTCAGGTACTCACCAGCACAGTGATTTCACTGATCAACACCTAAGTGCACATATAGGAATAACATTCATTGGGCGTCGAGCAGATGGGAGGGCGGAGGAGGGGATGGGAATAAACACATATAATGAGTGTGATGTGCACCGTCTGGGGGACGGACAGGCTTGAAGCTCTGAATTGAGGGGTGCGGGGGAACAAGGGCAGCATATGTAACCTAATCATTTGTACCCCCATATTATACTGAAGTAAAAATATAAACACAAAAGATAAAGGAATACATTCAGAAATTTTAGGAATTGAGTTAAAATACTTTATCATATTTCTAAGTTAATTACTTCTTTTAAATGCGAATTTCTGTCTTGTTTTTTAAAAATTAATCTTTTTTTATACTTCACTATATAACAGAAGTTATTTTTATGTAGAAGAGTTTTGCACTATTTGTTAACTCATTAAATTTATAGAGTTCAATGCATCTCAGAAATAACAGTCTACTGGAAATAAAAGTAGATTTCACAGTGGTTATATAATCTAAATTCTTTCAATAATAATCTACTGAAAAAGGGATGAATCTCATCTTTCTTGTTGACAAGAGAACATATCTATAAATACCACCTAGCAAAAAAATTAATATACTCACATAGGGTCATTAATGACTGTCCTCAAAGCACTGAGCAAATCTGTACTTGACATTGTGCTGAAGTCCACTCTAACAGCTGCCCCCTTGGCCTTCATGTGAGCAACGTTGTCTGGTTGATCCGCAAACAAAGGGATGCCCACCATGGGGACCCCGTGGTAGATGGCCTCATAGACGCCATTGGCTCCACCATGAGTTATGAAAGCCTTGGTTTTTGTGTGACCTAGAATTGGGTGAATGTCAAAGAAATTACTGATTACGCACCTTAGGAATAAAATGAGAAAAGGACAATACAGGACACTGAAAGTTGTAATGTTTTCTAGATAACAGACTGGAACACCCAGGACACTGCCCTGAAATTGCTGTCAGATTTCAGAGGAGGAAGCACCTACTGTTGCTGGAGAGGAAAGTGAGGCCTGCATGGAAGAAATGGTGTGGGACTCGAGAATGGAAAAATGAATACAAGATCAGCAAGCAGAGAATGAAAAGACACATTTTGAGTAAAAGAATTAAATGTGTGAAATATAAAAAAAAAGAAGAAAAGGAAAAGATTGGGCATGTATTAATAAAACACGTTCTCTGAAAGCAACATGCAGTCAGGGAGTCTGACATGCGAGTGCCCAGGGCACAGGGAGAGTGCTGGGAGCAGGGCTGGGGTCAGAGGAAGGACAGGCCACACTTCCCTGTGGAGGTGTCGACACAGTGTAGTAAAGACCGGGATTTATTCCCATGGAAAATGCAGAGTCACTGGTAATAGAAGAACAACTGTTCTTTTTAAGTGCCATGTGGAACAACCTTGGAGTAGGGAGTACAGGGGTGAAGTTGTAGAAACAGGAGAAAGACAGACAACCCAGGGCGCTATGGAAAATTATCTGAGAATCAGTTACATCTCATATAAGGATACTTTGTTTTTGGAAATAAAGAATATGAATGCATGTAACAAAATGGCAACTGTTGTAGTTTATTCTTCCCCCCCCAGGGCTTGAAAATAAATGTAAATATAGTTAGGTTTATTTTTGAGTTTTTAACAATAAATATTCCATATGTTAGTTGCTGTTGACCTACTATCACTCTAATTGGCTGTTAGTCACATATTCAGTATTCTTTCTCCAGTATCTCACCAAGAAGGTCATTCTGGGGCAACCACTTGTACAGCCGAGTATTGGGTCCCAAGGTGTCTGGTTTCTTGCCATGAAATCTCCATAGAACCTGTTGGGTAAAGAAAATATCTTGTTTCATGGGTGTAACTCCAAAGTTATGGCATAGTTAAACTCTAAAGTTGTTATCAACCATCTAGTTAAATCCCCTCCATACAAAAGATGAAGAAATGAGAACAAAGTTCTTAAGTAACGAGGACTACTGAAACTCTGAGATAAAATAGAATAACCAGATTGCATGTGCTTATGATTAGAATCACTTTGGCATATAGGAATTTTAAGTAACTTAGACGAATGATACTTTCAATGTTAAATTCAAGTATTGAATAAATAGACAATGTATATATAAAACACATACATCAATAATGATCTTTCCATTGATTTTATTTGCCTATTTTCTATTAGCTGCCATCTTCTAAATTTAATAATATTCTGTTTATTCCTTCTTTTAAATGTTTATATTAAATTATCTCGGACACTTAATTGTTGTGCATATGTATACACGATGTCTTCATAGATGCATAGAATGTGTAACATTTAAATCATAGTAATTGTGGTATCTATCACCTCAAGCATTTGACTAATATGAGTAGTAGTTCGTTTATATCTACTTTTTACATACGTAATTTCTTTACAGTTTGACATCATGTGAGTTATAAAAATAATCTGTACGGTGAGGTACTTGTGAGAAAGATAGCCATGCTACATTGGTAGTATGCATGACCACTGTTAGGTAGAATTTATTAAGCACAGCTTCCAAGAAAAAGTTTAAGTGGCAATTTTTGAGAAAAATTCATAGTGTTACCGCTATTTCTACTTTTGGAATTCTTTCACTGTAGAAAAATAGTGCTGGTGGTCAATTGATGAATACCAACACAGCTGTTAAAAAGTCCAAAATTATATTTTGCTGTATTTTACTTAACAGATGATTAACACTTAGATAATAGGCTACAGCAGTGATTCATATGGTCTGCTGTAACTAAGCCATTTCCATGCCCAGTACCAAAATAAGCTTATTGTAGAATTTCCAGGAAATCCTTTTAAACTTCAATAAAATTTAGAAATGTTTACCTTCCAGTTGCTATTTTTGTATTGAAGACTATGAAGTTTTCAGCAGAAAAGTAGCACAGGTCATTAGGAGAAATCTATGTCAGACAGAAAACTTAAAAACTAATTCACAATTCACTTAGACTGCAACTGCATTTTGTATATTATTAGTGGGCAATACCTGCCTACTACATCTTATGGAAGGGGCCTCTGAATCTCTTCCCATTCCTGCCTT